AAATTCAAAATAGTATTTCTCTGGTTCTGCTCCGATCTGCTACATGAGAACATCCATCTTTCCTATCCTTCCATTTCTTCCCACATCCTTCTGGAAGTCCCCTGTGTGCATCTCAAGCAGACTTTCATAAAATGGTAGTCCTCCTCTCCATTTCCAGATCATTGTAATATCACCCATCACCACTAACCCGGGCACTGGCTGTGCCACAGATGGCAGCCCTGGCACTGTGACTGATACCTACGTAATTCTGGAACTATTGCTCCCGTGGCCTTGCTCTGGGGTAAGGTGAGCTGCTAAAATTATAATATGCAGCAAAAATGCAGTGGTGAAAGAAATATAGAAATGTATTCTTTTCTCCCATAACAGTCCAGCTTGGGTGTTCATTTCAGCAAAGAATTCTCAGTAGCCGTTTCAACCTGGGGCTCTGTGCACCTGTAGCATAGAGCTCCCACGGCTGCCCTGCTCCATGCCCTCCCAGCCAGCAGAAAGGGGGGAACTGACCTGTGGGCTAGCTCCTCCCACTTCTCAAAAGCCTTGGCTCACAGTCTGTTGGTAATAACTGGACACATGACCCCACCTACCTGCATAGAGGGGCTGAGAAGTACTGGCCCTGGCTGGGCCACTTCCCAGCCACAGCCCTGTTATCCTTATGCCTTTTTGTGGACAATAAGCCATCACCTGTGTCTGATTCTCTCTTGTTTCACTGTCCTAGACCTTTCATGGTAGCCCCCCCTATCTCTAACACCCAGAGCAGCTGAGAGCATCCTCAGCCACACACTCCATTCCATCTGTACCCTCGGCAGTTCCCTTTCCACCTGTATAGACAGTATTTCTAAACCTTTACTGCTCTCCTTAAATCCACTCATCCCCAGCTTTAAAAGATGGCCTGCCCTCCGACCGCAGAGTAAACATAGAGGTCATCAGCTATGACCACTTCAACGCTCTCGTCAACACGGCCACTCTTTCCTCTCCTTTTGTCCCGAGGAAGATGCATCCCTGCTACTTTCTTGAGCCCACTCTTCTCCCTAATCTTCTTGGCCCCATCTTGGATCTGGTTTCATTAAGGATTTCTGCTTTCTCATAACTTCAGTCTCACTATCTCCATAGTAAAACGTGCCATCCTTGAGGATGCAAACATGCTTTCATTTTGCCTCGGTCTACTTTGTTTCCCCCTTCCTTTTTTCTCTTTAAACCAGATCTCTTAAAAGACTAGTTTATATTTACCCATCATGTCTTCACCTCCTATCTGCTGTCTAACCTTTTGCAGGCCCATATTCAGTCAACAGTTCATCAACGTATATTTCCTGAACCCCCTTCTGTGCCGGGCACAGGGGCTTCAGCAGTGCACAAAATAAGGCCTTTGCCCTCTTGGGGTTTACATTCTAGTAGGGGAAGGTGGGGAGGGGCAGTAAATATTTGTTAGATGTGTCTATGATATGTGACATATGCTAAAGAGAAAAATCAATCAGGATAAGGGAGTTAGGAGGATAGAGATATTTCAAGCAGAGTGGTCAGGAAAGGCATCTCTGATAATTATTTGCTCAGAAACCTGAAGCAAGTGAGGAAGCTCTTCATATGAGGAAGAGCATTTCAGGCAAGGAAACAGTATGTACTAAGGCTCTGAGGCAGGAGCATATCCACACACATGCCCAAAGGACAGGAAAAGGGCCACTGTGCCTGGAGATGAACAGGGGAAGGAGTAGGAGTGCTGGTGCCAGATCCATAGGACTTTCGCTGTGGTGAGATTCCTGATGGGGGCCATGGGAGGGATTTGAACCAGAGGAATGACATGATTTGGCTTGTGTTCTAAGGCGATAACTCTAACTGCTCTATGCAAAATAGACCCAGTGTAGCAGAGTGATCAGCTATGGGAATCATCCAGACAGGAGATTATGGTCATCTGGGCTGGGAGGTATCTGTGGAAGTGATGAGAAGTGACTCCATTCTGGGGATGTTTCTAAGAGATGACAGGCTGAGTAGTGCTGGAACCTTCCATCCTTCCAGTGGAGTTTCCTCTCCACACTCCACATTCTTTTCCTTCCTTATGGCCCAGGAAGCTGACCCATACAGATGGCATCAGCTCTGGCTTCCCTTTGGGTTTGCCCATGAGAGGCAGAAGACAAGGTGAACATGAGGACAGAATATTGTTCTCCCTACTTCCTGCCCCCACTAGTTGGCTGTGTCTCGACCTGAGGCTGCAGCCCTCCCCTACAGTGACCCTGTCTGGACTCCTGGAAACCTTTCCCACTCCTCCCTCCTTCACACCTAGGGGTGATGGCAGTTCCTGCTGTTGCTAGCTCAAGAGTACACCACTATCCTTTATTGATTTTCCTCTACCTTGCCCACAACTTATAAACAGCCCCTTTAGTAAGCTTTCCTTAATTTCTTATGATCTTGACTCTTACTGAAGCTAGAGCATCTAATGTGAAAATAACAGAACTTTTTTTTTGGTCACAGTCATTCACTCATTTTTCTCCCCAATAAAATGTTAAATCCTTGAGGACAAAAGTTGTCATATTCCTATTTCTGTTACCATGACATGAAGTAGGTAGGGTTTGCTGCAGTTTTGTCAATGAATGTTATAATATAGTGATGCCACTTGAGTCCTTAAGAATTACCTAAATTATACTTGATATTGAAAGATTAAAAGTAGGGTGTGTGTGTGTGTGTGTGGGTGTCCATCTTAGTGTTTATAGGTATAAGTTTCACCTTATTGGATAATTCAATTCAATTCCCTGGGATCAAAGAGACTTTTAAGAAACAGTTGAATACGTTTTCTTATTACTCATTGTTCTTGCAAAACTATCTAAACAACAGTTTGTTGATTTTACCAAGTGTTTTTGAACTGGAAAGAAATACTATTTGATCACAGTTTTTCAAGAACATAAATTTTACCAATAAAGATGATGCCAGTAACCTTGTTTCCAGTAACTTGAAAGGGGGATGGTGATTTATTAGTTACCTGTTAAGTGACTTTATTTGCATGACATTTTAATAGCACTTATTCCCATTATATTTGATTGCATACACTTACAAGATTATCAATGTGATTGTTTTCCTACCAATTTTTTTGTTTTAGTACTGCATTTTGTTATTGGTGTTTTCTGCTGGCCTAAAGAATATTTTATCATCACATATTATTAGTTGTGCTTATAATTTGGTGACTTGCTCTCTTCTCTTCTTCTTTTTTTTAACCTTGACTTATTTCTGTTTTTCCTTTGGGCAAAACCTTAAACAGTAGGCTGGACAGCCTTGAGGTATAGTTTTAATAAAAGCTTTGCTGAGTAATCATTTGGTATAAAATCCCGACCAAATCCATTAGTGGAAAAAGGAAGTAATATCTTTTCAAGGTTAACTTTCTTTGTGGTCGCTCCCATGAATAACACACACACACACACACAGAATTCATTTAACTATTTCTTGGATTCAACTATATTTGAGATCCATAGTTCTTATAAGGAGAACAAAAATTCCATAAGGTTAAGAGAGCATGTTGTCAAATAATTTATTTATTAAAGATAAATTAAAACCATGGAGCTTTGCTTATGTAAAATTTTAGCCAGTCCCCCAGGAAAATGTCCAGGAACACCCCATTGATTAGTTTGTTGATGTTTTTTAACTAAAAAGGCATACCCTTCTTTTTCTTCTTTTTATCCTTTTTTTAAATTGTTGACATTAAAATTCTCATAACTTAAGTACATACATGTTTTGCTTTTTTGGAGGTAAACTTTATATATTTTAAAGCAGTAATTTATTTTGTGGGTTTTAAAATTAATTTGATAATTTTATTTGCAAACTGAATAAGCACTTGACTACACTGAAGCAAGGGTGTTTTTGAAATCTATGGGGTGTGTAGCAGCTATAAATCCAAGAACTAGTCTTTCATAACATTCCACCAATTACTGTCTGTACAATCCCTTTCACCTTTACTCAGGTCTATTAACAGGCAAATTAAGACTCTCCTTGGAGTATTATTTATTGTTCTTTTCCACTTGGAAGATCACAAGCATAATGATGGTTGTGAAATTGTGAAATAATGAATAACAAGCATTGACTTAAATAATTTATGTTTCTGAAAGTTTCCTAAACTTTCTGTGAAAGTGAGAATTTAATTTAAGCCTCTACCTTCCCAGGAAAGATGGTGATAATGTTCTCTGAGATCCCTGTGCAGAGTATAGTATAGGGAGAGAACTGAAAAAAATTGGTTCAGACACCATCATTTTTTGGCTCTGTCCTTGTATGGTGGAAGGGGAGAGAGCTCTCTGGGGGTCCTTTTAGGACATTAATTCTTGAGGACTCTACCCTCATGACCTCATCACCTCCCAATAGCTCCACCTCCTAATACACATTTGGGATTAAGATTTTAACATGAATTTTGGGGGGACCCAAACATTCAGTCTATTGTAACTGTCATTGTGGTAATGGATTAGAAGGAAGAAATGGATGTATGAGCCGTAACAGGTTTATATGTAGGGAAAGAAGAAGACACTAAACTTAACTTTCAAAATGAGTGACTAGCATTGTGCATATAACAAATCCAGGATTGTTCTTTGGTTTCTGAAAAGTTTCTATATATGGAAAATATAGGAATGCAAAATTTAAAAAACTGATACAGATTAAATGTGGTCTACCATATTATTTATATAATAATTAAATAGCTAATAGTCTCCAAAAGAAGGATTATAGATAAGATCTTCTACTTTCCTTTAGTTAAGAGAAATATATCCTGTTTTTCTAATTCAGATCTTTCACTCAGATCCTTCTATTACATTATATCATGCCCAGAGATGTGTTATTCTATGGCTCTTGTATCCCAGGACTGCTGATACAGTGATGTGTGGAGCTCAAACATGAAACCTGTTGAAAATTAAACCATTGCCTTCTGCATTTGATCCAACCTACTATATATATAGAAATGTATATATATGAGATATACAAAATTATTCAGAGTTACAAATAATTTTACTTTATTATTTCATAAGTATTTTTATTATTGGCAGGTTCGATGGATGATGTACTGGATTGTTTTTGCTCTCTACACTGTGATTGAAACAGTAGCAGATCAGACAGTTGCTTGGTAAGTTCTAGTATTGAGAAAGGACCAGACTATAGAGTTATCAGGTGTCCTGAATTCTTATCCTGCTTTTGCTGTTAACTAAGTGAATTTGATCAAGTTCCCTAATTATCCAGTGTCTCGTTTTCTTGATCTGGTTTCCTCATAAGAACATTACTTTCCTTACAGTCTCTCTGGAATAAAGGCAGCTCATTCTTCTCCCCAGGCCACTCCCTGCCCATCCCCCAACATCTCCCAGGATCTGGAATAGAGAAATTGGTTCTCATTCTTTTTTTCCACACTGAGGTCTTCAGGCTATTTTTCTTTATCACTTCCTAAAAGATTCCTCTTTTGACACCCACAGCAGTCCCTCCCCATCCTTAAAACTCTCATCTACATTCAAATTGGATGGCATCCATGGGGACACCCATTGACCTCCAACTCTGTTCCAAACCTCTGAGATAAAATTATAAACCTCTGATATAAAGCATGTTTATATCCTCAAGGATTTAACATTTTACTGAGGAGCAAATACTTAATGCAGTGGTTCTCAACCTTCTGGCCCTTTAAATACAGTTCCTCATGTTGTGACCCAACCATAAAATTATTTTCGTTGCTACTTCATAACTGTAACGTTGCTACTGTTATGAATCGTAATGTAAATATCTGATATGCAGGATGGTCTTAGGCAACTCGTGTGAAAGGGTCATTCAACCGCCAAAGGGGTCGCGACCCACAGTTTGAGAACTGCTGGCTTAATGGGACAACTTGAATCTCCTTGTGCTGTATTTCAGTAGTGCGTTTCTACCTAAACCTTGCCATCACGTGGAAAAGTCCTCCTTTCAGAATCTGTAAACTTACTACCTTGCCAGTATCTTAAGCTGCCCTTGCTGCGCTCACCTTCAGCCTAAATAAGCCCAATTGTCTTTAGTTCTTTCCCAGGCTACTAAATGAGCTGAAAAAATCAATCAGTTGCTCATATAGGTATCAATTTGAACTTCCCTACTTTTATTTGATTTTGGTCAGTTGCTACTTCCAATTCCCTCTTATATCTGTTTCAGACACTTACTGTTCTCTCCTTAAACTGTCTTTCTGACTTTGCTATTCTCATCATATTCTCACAGCACATTAGGTCACATTGGATTGCTAGGAAAAAATTGAAGTCATCAGACTTAAATGTTCTTAGCATCCTGCCCTTATTTATGAATTTCTCTGTACTACATCTCATCCATCTTTCTCTTCCTTTTTCTGTCCCATAGCTCATTCATTTCCCTGGTATGTTTTTGGTATAGGGGTTTGGGAGAGGGTTTTCTGTTTGTTTGTTTTTAAATGTCCGAACACAGATTCCAAATCATAGTGGGCCTCTTGAGTCTCAAAGTTCTTTTTGTAAAGACTTCTCGTTTTATGATTGCAAATATAGCATATATTATTAAAAAACTGGCCCTGGCCAGGTGGTTCACTTGGTTGGAGCTTCATATACCAAAGGGCTGCTGGCTCAATTCCCAGTCAGGGCACATGCCTAGGCTGCTGGTTTGATCCCTGGTCAGGGCACATACAGGAAGCAACCAAGTGGTGTTTCTCTCTCTCTCTCTCTCTCTCTCTCTCTCTCTCTCTCTCTCTCTCTCTCTTTTTCTCTCTCTTTCAAAAAAAAAAAAAAAAAAAAAAAACCTCCTCAGGTGTGGAATAAAAAAAAAACAAAGAACAATGTAGGGAGCATTTACCACAAACAGTGAAAACCAGAAATTCCTCTGTGATTGCAGCATCGCGGAGACCTTCTGCTGGCATTCCTCACTGCCCGATACCCATCTGCCTCCTCAGAAGAGTCCAGGTTTTCCAGTCATCGTGTATCTTCATGACCGCAGGATGTTGATTCCCTCATGCTGTATTAGTTAACTTGCTGTGGCAGCAAATAACCCTAAAAGCATAAGTTAGAAAAACAAACATTTATTTCTTGTTCAAACTACATGAGGGCAGATGGTTGCTGCCGCTTTGCTGGGCTTGACTATTTCAAGTGTCTCTTCTTTATGGGACCAAGGCTGAAGAAGCACTTGTCACAGCAGAAGGCAAACATTTAAAGCAAGAGGGTGGGGGTGTTGGGGTGAGGGAGTCAAAGGGCATCTAAAGCTTCTCCTTGCATGTGACTTGTCACACTCATTCTGTTTGCAAAAGCAGGTCACATGGTTAAGCCCACTGTCACTGCTTGGGGAAGTGTACTCAGCCTACTGGGAAGGCATTGCAAAGTCTCATGAAAGGGGCATGGGCCAGATCTAACCCTAACTCTCAGTCTACCACAGTGGTAATTCCGTTTCTTTCGCAAGTGAACAATTTAGGTCTGCAAAGTGCTGGAATTCTGGCCAAATGAGATGGGAGGGGGAGTTTCCTGGGAGTTCTGAGAATGAGAAGATGTGTGTATGGGCTAACATTGTACACGTGTGGCCTATAAATGTAAGTCCTTACGGTTGGAGGTGTATCAGGAACTGCCATGGCTCTTGGGCTCTGTAGACAGAACAGGGCTACCTCACTGCCTGGTTAAACGCTGTCAGTGCCCTCTGGGCTGCCACACTCGGTTGGCAGCTTCCCTGTGTGCAATGCTTACACTGAAGAATCTTCACTGGAAGGTGTGAATCTCTGTGGGGATCAGGTTGCTCTTCCCTCAACTGATATCTATATTTAACTAAATTAGTTTGTCATTCAAACGCAGGTGTTTCTTCGATCTCTCACTTTTACGTATGAAAATTTAACATAGAGACTGAACTTTTTAGAAAGTTTTTTGTTACTTGTTCATTGTCTGGGGTTTCTTTTCATTGGCTTTTTTTTTTTCCCTTCAAATTTTTTCTTGTTAGGTTCCCCCTGTACTATGAACTTAAGATTGCTTTTGTCATATGGCTGCTCTCTCCCTATACCAAAGGAGCAAGTTTAATATATAGAAAATTCCTTCATCCACTTCTTTCTTCAAAGGAAAGGGTAAGATATTTAAATTATTGTCATCAATCATTTGTTAGAAATATATATCACCAAATGCTTTATGCTGTAAAAATTGTGAAATGATTATATTATGGGGGAGTCCTATTTTTTGCTTCTGGACACTATACTTAAATATAATTAATATCTATGTGGTTGGGTTTTTTTTCCTCCCAGGAGATTGATGATTATATTGTACAAGCAAAAGAACGAGGCTACGAGACGATGGTAAACTTTGGACGGCAAGGTTTAAACTTGGCAGCTACTGCTGCGGTCACTGCAGCAGTGAAGGTAATTTCTTATTTACAGTGTTTATCCAAAGCACAGTAAGTCAACGGATAAAGTAGGGTGGCTCTTTATTTCAGATCGGTATGAAATGTTGGCAGAATTTTGCTCTCTGTTTATTTTTTTTATTTTTTATTTTTTTAAATATATTTTATTGATTTTTTACAGAGAGGAAGGGAGAGAGATAGAGAGTTAGAAACATCGATGAGAGAGAAACATCGATCAGCCGCCTCCTGCACATCTCCTACTGGGGATATGCCCGCAACCCAGGTACATGCCCTTGACCGGAATTGAACCTGGGACCTTTCAGTCCGCAGGCCGACGCTCTATCCACTGAGCCAAACCGGTTTCGGCTGTTTATTTTTTTAATACTGGGAAAAACAAGTATGTCATGTTATAAGCATTTTTACACATTTTGTGTAACTAAATATTTTGAAACTCTTAATCGATCACAAAATGAGAGCTAGTTAATAAATAAACCAGAAAATGTCATTTTGTCATAACTTTCCTACTTTATAAACTTAAAATAGTTTGAGTAAATCACCTTTAGTGAAGATGACCGTTCTTTCTTTCCTTGTCTTTGGCATTCTCTCTCTCGGTGGCAATATCTTGATAGGATTTCTGGCTTACTTCTGCACCCCTACTTCAACCAATTTGAGGTAACTGATTATTCAAAATAAGGCATGGAAAATTTGAGATTTTACTTAGCCACTACTAATGTCATGTGTTGTGTTTTGCAAGCCAAGTTATCAAATGAATGCCTTCTGTGAAAACTTGCATTGTGGCTTTTGGATTCCTTTGCATGTAGTAATTAGTGTGGTTTATTTTAAATGTGATAGTATAATTGATTTTGGTGTGCAGTGTATGGAGAGAAAACGGGCTTCAAACCCCAAAAGTGCTGAGTGTGACTCTCTAAATAACCGTCAGCAATTTACTTAACTTCTGTCTTCCTTAGTGGCCTCATGTATAAAACGGGGATAATATACCCATCAGTGAGGGCATGTATAAAAGCACAGTGCTTATCAAAATATAGTAGGAACCCAATAAACAGAAATATCATGTATCTATCAAAATTCCAGGGAAAATTTGATTTTGTTGCTATTAAGTTAAATTGAGACTAAATAGTATTCTAGCTTTTGAGTTCAGCTTTTTCAACTTAGTTATTTTGAACTAAAATGTCAATGCTATGGAAATAAATAGTCTAGTTAAGTGGTGGTTTTATATAATAGCAATGGTGAAGGGATATAAAATGTCAAATGGGCCTTCTTTTTTCAGGGTGATCTTTGGCTGAAGTATCATAATTAATAGGATTAACAGGATAAAAAGTTGACATTCTATACTAGAAGTGTTACATTGATAATTAGGTGGAAAGATCCTATCTAATAGACAAACATGGTAATTGACCATACCTTCGCTATGCCTCCCATTGGCTAATCAGCACGATATGCAAATTAACCGCCAACAAAGATGGCGGCTAATTTGCGTACTGCAGGCAGGGCGGGACAGCGCCATCCTGCCTGCCCTGCTGCCATCTGGGCCTGCCATCTGCGACCCGGGGCGGCAGGTGTCTGTGTGCAACCTGACCCGGGGCAGCCGGGTGGTGCAGCAGCAATCGCCAGCCCGCTCGGCCACCATCCGGGCATCCCGTATGCGATCCAACCTGGGGCAGCCGGGCGGGGCAGCAGCGATCGGCCAGCCTTCCCAGGCGTCCCATGTGTGACCTGACCCGGGGCGGTGCCCCAACCCCCAGATATGCCCTGCCGTGTGTGTGGCCTGGGGTGGCACCCCAACCCCCGGATCGGCCCTGCCATGTGCTTGACCCGGGGAGGCAGGGCAGGCACCGAGGGATCGGGCCTGCCATCTGCCACCTGGGGAGCGGGCCTAAGCTAGCAGGTGGTTATCTCCCTGGGGGTCCCAGACTGTGAGAGGGCACAAGTGGGGCTGAGGGACACTCCCCCCACTCCCCCTCCCCTGCCAGTGCACAAATTTTTGTGCACCGGGCCTCTAGTTAACTATATAACACTATACATGTAAGACAAGTCTTATTAATTATTATCTATCAGCACTTTAGTACAGTTTCCCTATTATTGGCTTCTGAAGGTTTTTATTAGTAGTGATATAAGCAAATACCAAAATAGCAATATTTCCAGCTTATTTAAGGATTATTTTTTCTTGTAGAAGAAGTACATTTGCTTTTTATATCTTGCTTAATGAAAATGCATTCCTGGTTCCCATGTCTAATAAAAAAGGTCATCTAGGAGTCCCACCACTCAACAACTAGGAATTGCATAGTCAAAATAAGTGTTATCTCACAGAAATGCCTCTCTGTAGAATCATATACCTATATTTCTGTCTTTTTTGTGATTCATTGTTTGTTTTTATTTATATATATAAACCTTAAAAACATCTCCCTTCAAAAGCAGGAAACAGAGAGCATAAAATCATCTAAGTGACCACTTAGATAAACACTTATTCCATAATTTGAATTCATTATGGAACTTTCCCTTTTTGTTTGTGATTTCATGATCCTTTTGTTATCAAGATCACTGTCTGTGAGGTGGCCCTTGCCATTCTCAGTGTGAGCACAGGAAGGTTGGCTTCAACCATCCTGGATTGTATTCATTAGAAATACTCATTAAACATGCTGAACATAACATCACAGTAACACTATTTGCCTCAAGTTGTACTGTGCCTATTTTAAAGTAGGTGAAATTAATTTCATCTCTGGAGATGTCAAAGAAAGACACCATGATGGAAGAATTACTGAACCAGACAATTCATTCAGAGGAATAAATTGAAACTGAAATAGGAAAATAGGTCAAGTTTGAGGAGAAACTGCAAGAAAGCCAGGAGTTAGGTTTGAGAATTGTTTAAAAATTTTACAACATATAATTTCTTGAAATATATCTTTTAGGCTAAAAATATTTGGACTCTTGGTGTGACCTTTAAATATTGGTAATGCCTCTGACTAGGTTTCCTTGGTTGAACCACCTGAGCCTGTTAGAGATTAAAATAGGAATCTAACAGAGCATTTATTACACCGTAAAGCAATTTTCTGAAAATGTTACTCAGTTCTATGACCTCATTACCAGGCATCTGTTCACAAGGTCAATGTACAAGTTTATTTTGGCTGAGCAAAGCATAAACATATGAAGGACCTTCAAGGATTTTGCTGAGGGTGTTCAGTATTCCGTAGATTTTCACATGAAAAATGCAGGTGGCTTTTGTACAGATGAACAGCACTACTGCCGGATGAAGGACAAGTTAATAAGACTGTTAGTCACATTAACCATCTCTTAGAATTTTCTCTGGCAGCCTTTGGTAAATTATTTAGCAGATATTATTTTCAAAAAATCGATTATCACAGAAATTAGAGCCTTACAGGTAAATTTGATGATCTCTAATTGACTTCAAGTGTTCAGGATTAGGTCAGAGATCCTGACATCTTGCTGTCTGTTTTAGTGGCTTTCAGTTTGTGAAAAGATTTGAGGATATTCAGCTGCTTATTAGCGATTTTAAAAAGAAGGCAGTTGTTCAGACAATGGGAAAAAGTGGCCATGCTATTTCCCTATTGTCTAGGAACGGGAATGTTATAATGAACATGGAATTCTATAGCAGTCAACTCATCTGCCATTTTCAGCTCTGATGCTTCCACAAATCAGCCATGAGATTTTTGGACAAATCATCTGCACTCATCTCTTTCAGTATAAATTTTCTTACCTGTAAAAACAGAGGGGTGAAACTTGACTTCTAAAATCTCTTATATCTCTAAGAGTGTTTCTCAAAGGGGTTGATTTTGCCTTCCAAGGGACATCTGGCAATGTCTGGAGACATTTTGGGTTGTCACAACTGAGGGAGAGGATGCTACTCCTAGCATCCAAGAGGTAGAGATCAGGGAGGCTACTTCATATCTTACACTGCACAGGAAAGTTTCCCTACAACAAAAAATTATCCAACGCAAAGTAGCAATAGTGTTGAAGTTGAGAAAGTATGATGAGTCCGATAAAGCTAAAAGGATATTTAAATAGGTATATGTAGTTTTGGTGGTAGATTACAAACAATTTTTCTTTTGTATCTTTTTCTCCGTTATAAATGTTCTTTGATAAATATGTTTTTTCACCTTAAAGCCACTAAAATACATTATTCACTTAATGCAAATACAGTCAGTTCTATTTTAGACTTGATCAGATTAATTGATGAATGTCCATAGGGAAAAGAGATTTGCCTAAAACCTGGCAACTTGCCTTCTCTGCATTATAGTGTAGTATGTCAAGGATAACAGAAATGGAGCTTACTGGCCATTCATTGTTGAACAGTATGGTAAGAATTGTTCTGTAAAAGATTGTTGTAAGCTTATAAACATTATTGAAATTTTTTAAAAATATATTTTATTGATTTTTTACAGAGAGGAAGGGAGAGGGATAGAGAGTTAGAAACATCGATGAGAGAAACATCGATCAGCTGCCTCCTGCACGCCCCCTACTGGGAATGTGCCCACAACCAAGGGACATGCCCTTGACCGGAATCGAACCTGGGACCCTTTAGTCCACAGGCCAACGCTCTATCCACTGAGCCAAACCAGTTAGGGCAACATTGTTGAAATTTTTATTATGCATCTCATTACAATTAAAACTTCACTTACACCATCTATGACTAATTTTGCAATATTAAAGAAATTGTTGGGAAAAAAAAGGGAAAAATCACTCATCCCATCTGCCTAAACATTATCCTGTTTATTTTTTGCATATTTTCCCTACTTATAACCACACTTCATACTTATAATCATACTATGCATATGATTTCGAAATCTGAGGTAGAGGGGATGTATTTCCACTTATTTTATTACAAACATAATTTCTTTCTTAATAGACTTTTTGTGCTAAAGACATAAAAATTAGAGGGAGCCCTGACCGGTTTAGCTCATTGGATAGAGCGTCGGCCTGTGGACTGAAGGGTCCCAGGTTCGATTCCGGTCAAGGGCATGTACCTTGATTGCGGGCACATCCCTAGTAGGAGGTGTGCAGGAGGCAGCTGAATCGATGTTTCTCTCTCATCGATGTTTCTAACTCTCTATCCCTCTCCCTTCCTCTCTGTAAAAAATCAATAAAATATATTTAAAAAAAAATTAGAGGGAATAGGTCTGCATCTAAGTGTGATTATTTTATAATTAGAGTTTTCCCTGGATGCTTACAATTTATATAATGTTTTCTGAGTTCACAATACTGCATTAATTTTCTCTTTCCATATTAACTCTATTCTGGGCCCATTAGAAAATACACAGTGGTAAAATAAGATTTTTCGAAATGTGCCGGGGTCCAACCCCAGCAGGTCCAGGAGTCCCCAAAGGTGTGGATGGAGTCAGCGAAGAAGGAATGACACAGAGACAGCGTTCAGTTGATCAGCAGCCTAGCCAGGATCTCCAGCCAGGATCTCCAGCCAAGTTCTGGTCTGGATCTCCAGAGAGGTTCTGCTTAGGATTTCCAGCCAGGTTCTGTGTCCATGTTCTCTTGCTAGGTTCTCCAGGTTCTCCAGCCAGGTTCTGTAGCCATGTTCCCTTGCTAGTTTCTCCAGCCCGGTTCTGTCCAGGTTCTCCAGCCAGGTTCAGTCACCAGGTTCTAGTCAGGTTCTCTTGCCAATTTCTATAGTCAGGTTCAGCCCAGGATCTTTTGCCATGTTCTCTCCAGTGAAGTTCTTCTGTCTCTAGGTTCTGTGTAGGTTCTGTCTTCTTAGTTCTGCCTTCTAAGTTCTGTGTTCTAAGTTCTGTGTCTTGCTGTCTTGTTACATCTGTATTTATACCAGTTGATTCAATCCTATCAATCTCTATTACAAAGGTTAGGGCGTTTCTTATCTCCATTCCAGGGAGTAAAGATTATGTAGCTTAAGCATGATTGTTCATAGTTAAAGTGATTAATTACCTGCCTGGCACTTAGTTAAGAGGTTTTATTCCCTCCCTAACTTCAGGGGAAAATCCCTACCTGGGGAAACAACCTTTCTCAGAGAGGAGACCTTGGTTAAAACACATAGTGCCAAGAAGGTGAGCAAACATATTAAGAACAGTATGCCATATATGCCAGGTCCCTTGAAACAGCAAGGATGGACCAGCTCCCGGCAGAAATGATAATGGCTATTGAAGTGTTGGGAGTCCTCAAAGGTAGTGTACAGCCTCTATTTGCTTTTCCTGGCTTTTCTTGAAACCTTGAAGAGATTGATAATAATTAGGGCTATAGAGCTGGTTACTCGAGCTACATTAAAATCTTTGCTGTAAGTAGATTACCCAGATACCTCAGGGTTGGTCCTTGCTCACCTTTAATTTACACCTGAAACAAACCTCTGATGGATGGTATAGTCTACCCATGTAGATACCCATGGCAATACTTGTAGTTTGCATTTAATCTCTGTATAAAAACACCAGTGTTTATGTTTAAACAAGCCCCTATCTTTAGAGAACTCAAGCAATCAAGAGTAATAAAAAAAAAAAACCCTGGCCGGGTAGCTCAGTTGGTTAGAGTGTCCTCCTGATATGCCAAGGTTGCAGGTTCGATCCCCGGTCAGGGCACATACAACAATCAACCAATGAATGCATAAATAAGTGGAACAACAAATACATGATATCTCTCTCTCTCTCTTTCTCTCTCTCTCTCCCTCCCTCCCTCTAGCCTTTTTGTTTTTAAGAATAATAAAAAAGAAGAGGCATAAAAAGAATAGTTTAATTATTACCTGCTCAGTATGTCAGTATCAGTACCATATCAGGTACATTAGGAAAATTAAAGAAGCCTAAGGTTTATTCATCTTATCTAGTTTCTTAAAATCTTGTTTTGGAGGCAAAATATATACAGCACAACAGAACTAACAATAATGTGTGGGTTCATTTGTGATTAGTAATTAGTTGATTATACTAATTACTTATACTAAGTGATTAGTTGATTATACCCAAAGATACCAAAGTTTGTAGACGATCTAAAGCTAGACTGATTCAGTGGCACTTTGACTCATTTGCATTCTGAGAAGTACTTTCCTGAGTAGGAGGGCTTGTTTGGGCATTACACCCAGCCTTGGAAATTGCACCTGAGTCGAGTAGAGGGTAACAGGGATGTGTATGACCTTTATCATTTGTTTGGCAGTAGGTAAAAAGTCAAGAATTTCTAAGAGAGGGCACAGAAATACAAAGACAAAATAAAGACATTGATAGTTCTGAGAAAACCAGGCATCTGTTTCAGAGAGCACTGGTCACTTCCTTTTATTATTTTTATTTTTTTAAATATATTTTTATTGATATTTTACAGAGAAGAAGGGAGAAGGATAGAGAGTTAGAAACATCGATGAGAGAGAAACATTGATCAGCTGCCTCCTGCACACCTCCTACTGGGGATGTGCCCGCAACCAAGGTACATGCCCTTGACCGGAATCGAACCTGGGACCTTTCAGTCCGCAGGCCAACGCTCTATCCACTGAGCCAAACGAGTTAGGGCGGTCACTTCCTTTTAGTATCTGTCTGAAATCTTCAGTCACCGATATCTGAAGTAAGTAACTGATATCTGATAAGGAGGAAGAAAGAATAATGAATTAAACCATGCCAAGAATGTTTTAAAAAATGTGTGGAACCCAGTTACTTTTGTTGAAGATATAAACCCTGTAATCAAGTAATTTCAAACTCAAAAAAAATATGGTAGAACTGCAAAACTTAAGTGGGGTAAGGCATTTGATTTTAACATAATATATCACAAACTCAGAGTAGCTGAATCAAGACCATTTCCTTCAGGATAAAATACATGTTAGCAGTAACGTTCAAATGTTCATAGTGCCATATCCAGGCTTTGAAATTTAGAGATAAACCATTATGGACAAATTTCTATGGTAACTTTATAAGTAGAGGCAGTCATAAATTGACATGTGTGAGAAGGAGAAAGAAGTGTAAAAATCCACCAAAAGAATATTTTTAATTCAGCTATACATAAGAAATGAGTCATCTATGTGCTATGCAAATTTTCAAAATGAGTAAATTTAGAAATCTTTTTTTCTCTTTCCAAAGCTTTATACTTTACGGGGAAATCTAGTTATGTCTGAAAGGTTCAGAAATGCCCTTTCCGAGCTGTGCAATGATGTAATAATTGAACTTTCTGCAGCGGCGGAAATGTCCTGCATCTGCATTATCAAATACAGTAGCCACTAGCTACATGTGGCTGGCTGCTGAGCCTGTGAAATGTGCAATTAAGGGCCTAGATTTTTAGTTTATTTAATTTTAGTTTATTTAAATTTAAATATCCACGTGTTCAGTGTCTACCATATTGTTAACCTGACAAAGTCAAATTGCATAGTAGTAGATATGCCTTGCCAGAGAGTTAATTCATTAACTGAATGTCATTTTGTATCCAAGATTTTTAGGCTCTTAAATTTTTTTTTATCCTGTTCTGGGTAGAGACATTACCACTCCTGACGTAGTTTAGCTTACAATAGTACCGCTCTTACTTTAAAAATTTCTTCTGAATCATAAGCGTAAGCCCCAAATGATAGTTGTAAGAGAGAGCAAAATTATGGGTGCTGTTTACTCTGAGGGTAAGTTCTATATGTTTTTTACACTTTAAAATTAAATATAAAGGTGACATGTTTGGGATGGAATGTGCTGATATCTACAGTTCACTTTGAAGTGCATTAAAAATTGTTGGATGGATAGATAAATGATAGCTTATGGGATAAAGAAAATAAAGCAAAATGCAAGTGATATATGGGTGTTCACTCTATAATAATGTCAACTTTTCTGAAAGATTCATAATAAAATGAATAAGCTTCATGATCAAGTGTTGGGGGACATGTCCCGTGTAGGCATATTAAACGTTTTGAACTGTACTTTCCTTTCTGGGACCTGTCGCTTCTCTGTTCCATAGAGCCAAGGAGCGATCACTGAGCGACTGCGGAGCTTCAGCATGCACGACCTGACAGCCATCCCCGGGGAGGAGCACGTGAGGCAGAGACCATTCCAGCCTCCACCAGAGACAAAAAAGAAAAGTAAAGCCGCCTCCAGTGAGTCGGCAGGTGCGCTTCTTTGCTTTAATATATCATCCTTTCACAGTTTGATTTTGAGTCAAGATGGGTAGTAAGACAATCCCTGGTAGCTCTGAATCGGGGTAGACAAAATTTCCTTTTAAGCTTATATTTTTGAGCTTTACCCTTAACTGTAGTTAGTGCTTGCCTTTTGTTGACTCTGGAGATAATCCAACGAAGAAAGTAGTGGTAGCCTTTTGTGCTGCCATGAATGTTTAGAAGCTCTGGGAGTGGTTACCCCCACTTCCCCGCCATCAGTACTAGTTCTGACCTGTGATCAGTACTCTTTCTCCTTAAACCATAGTGACATCTAAGGAGTTTCATAGTTAAACATTCTTTACTGTAAGTACTCTGAACAAATAAGGATATTGACTCACAAGATAAAAGGTTTTAAGTGGGTGACAAAAGATGACTCAATTTGAAAATAGGATTACTCCAATGGAAAATGTGTTGAAATTACATGTATTTCTAGTTCAAGAACTAACTTGTAGGCATATTCTAATGTAAGTCATGAGCATGTCAAAGTTGACATATCGAAAACTACCAAAAAATGTTATATTACACATAAATAAAAAGACATAGTTCCTTAGTCATTTTGTCACATATAAGAAAGTTTTAGTTCAAAGCTCAGCTGAAAACTAAGATCTTCAGGACCACTTATTAATGTATTATTAAGTCCATAAGGTACAGGGCTACTTGATGATCTTGTTTTTTTAGGAGATTTCTTTTGAGGAAGATTAAAAATCATCCTTTATAATTGAAACCAATTTGGCTCTGGCCAGTTGGTTAGATCATCGTTCCAATATGCCAAGATTGTGGGTTCAATCACCGGTCAGGGCACATACAAGAATCAACCTAGTACAAAAATAAGTGGAACAACAAATGGATGTTTCTCTCTCTCTCTCTCTCTCTCTCTCTCTCTCTCTCTCTCTCTCTCCTCTGCTTTCCCCCCTCATTCTCGCTCCCTTCCTTTCTCTAAAATCATAAATATTTTAAAAATAATTAAACTGGTTTGAAAAATAAAATAACTGTCTCTTCTTATAGAGGAAAATAGTGAACTTTCTTCTGAGTTCTTAGAATGAATAACTTTACAAAGTTGGTGACTAATATCTGAGAGGTAGGCTTGGCCATTGATTAAGGTTATAATATCTTTAAGAGTAAGGAACCATTGAGCTTTGAACCATCATTCTTAATACATAAATAATGTAAAAGTAGTTTCTAATACAGGCTTTTTCTTAATATGCCCCTAAAAATTAGGTATGCTGATCTTTTTGTTGTTGTTAATCCTCACCCAAGGATATTTTCCCATTGATTTCTAGAGAGAGGGAAAGACAGAGATAAATATCCATGTGAGAGAAACATATCGATTGGTTGCCTCCTGTATGAGCCCTGACCAGGGCCTGGGGAGGAGCTTGCAATCAAGATACATGCACTTGACCAGAATCGAACCCGGAACCCTCTAGTCCACAGGCCAATGCTCTATCCACTAAGCCAAACCATTTAGGGCCTGATTTTAATTACAAGCCAATTATTGGCAACTTTTTCAAAGAATACAGCTGACCAATTAACACATGAAAAGGATATTTAGCCTCAAATAATAAGTTTTGTTCACCAGATTGGCAAAAAGTTTTAATTAATAGTGTTCTGTGTTGTAACTATTCTAGTTGTGTGTTGCTGTGTAATAATAAATCACTTCCAAATAGTGATTTAAAAAATACATATTTTTATTGATTTCAGAGTGGAAGGGAGAGGGAGAGAAAGATAGAAACATCAGTGATGAGAGAGAATCATTGATTGGCTGTCCCCTGCAGGCCCCAAACTGGGGATTGATCCTGCAATCCAAGCATGTGCCCTGACTGGAAATTGAACCACGACCTCCTGGTTCATAGGTCGACACTCAATCACTGAGCCACGCTGGCTGGGCGCCAAATAGTGATTTAAAAAAAAATTATGGTCATTTATATTGTTCATAGTCTGGGGGCGGGGGGGGGGGCGGGGTGACTGGGCTCAGTAAGGCATTCTTGCTCAGGGTCTTGTACATCTATAATCAAACAGCAGCTGGGGCTGGAGGCATAATGTGAAAGGCTTCTTCACTTACACGTTTGAGCTAGAAAGAGTCGAACAGCTGGTAGCTAAAACAGCTGGAGCTTCTCCAGCATATTTCTCTCTCTCTCTCTCTCTCTCTCTATATATATATATATATATATGTGTGTGTGTGTGTGTGTGTGTGTGTGTGTATGTATGTATGTATATATATGGTCTCTGAGGATCATTGGACTTCTTACCTGGCAGCTGAAGGCTCTCAGAGGCACTGTCCCAAGAGAAAAGTGTCAGAACATGTGTTAAAACCACCACAGCAACCATGCTAGGAAACAAACACTCTCGTATACTTTTTATGAGAGATTTAAGTGGAATAATCCTCTTGGATGACAGTCTGGCAATAACTATAAAAATTTAATCCCTTTAACTCAACAACAAACTTCTAGAAATATGCCTTAAGGAAATAATCAGACAAGTGTTCAGAGATGTATGTACAAGTATGTTCATCTCATTGTTTGTAGTAAGAAAATGTTGGAACAAACCAAATACCTATGAGAAATGTTTAAGCAAAAAGGTGGCTTATTAGCCATGAAAAATAATAAGGTCAGTCTATATTTACTGAAATGAAAATATAACCAGATTGTGGGGGAATCTATACTAATAAAAGGGTAATATGCTGATTAGACTGGGAGACCTTCCAGACGTCCTTCCGGACAAAGCCATGGTGGCGGGGCCGAGGCAGAGGCCGTTAGGGGCGATCAGGCCAGAAGAGGAGGGCAGTTGGGGGCAATCAGGCCAGTGGGGTGGGGGGGCAATTGGGGGCGAGCAGGCCAGCGGAGGGGGCCAATTGGGGCAAGCAGGCCAGTGGAGGGAGGCAGTTGGGGGTGAGCAGGCTGGCAGTGGGGGCCAGTTGGGGGCGATCAGGCCTGCAGGGGGGGCAGCTGGGGGTGAGCAGGCCAGCGGGGGGGGGGGGCAGTTGGGGGCGATCAGGCCTGCAGGGGGGGCAGCTGGGGGTGAGCAGGCCAGCGGGGGGGGGGGGCAGTTGGGGGCGAGCAGGCTGGCAAGAGGGGGCAGTTGGGGGCGAGAAGGCCAGTGGGGGGGGGTAGTTGGGGGCAAGCAGGCCGGTAGGCAGAGTTGTTAGGGGCGATCAGGCAAGCAGGCAGGTGAGCGGTTCGGAGCCAACGGTCCCAGATTGCGAGAGGGATGTCTGACTGCTGGTGGGATCCCTGTGGGATCGGGCCTAAACCGGCAGTCGGACATCCCATGAGGGGTCCCAGATTGGAGAAGGTGCAGGCCAGGCTAAGGGACCCCCCCCCCCCATGCACAAATTTCGTGCACTGGGCCACTAAAACAATAACAGCTAAACAGTGTGTGTATTATAATCTTGCACCAATTGTGTTATATCATATTGTATTATAATATAGAGACACAATAGATAATAGAGAGTCTGGGGGGATATTACTAAAATATTAACCTAAGTGTTTAGCTCTAAGTAGTAGAATTTTAATGATTTTTTAAAAAGTCAACCTTTCACTCAAAATCAGAAATAAGCCCTGGCTGGCTTGGCTCAGTGGATAGAGCGTCAGCCTGCGGACTGAAGGGTCCCAGGTTCGATTCCGGCCAAGGGCACATGCCTGGGTTGAGGGCTCAATCCCCGGTGGGGGGGCGTGCGGGAGGCCGCTGATCAATGATTCTCTCTCATCATTGATGTTTCCATCTCTCTCTCCTTTTCCCTTCCTCTCTGAAACCAATAAAGAAATATAAAAAAAAAAAATCAGAAATAAAACAACAGCACTTTCCCTTTTGAAAATAATTAAGTACTAAATTTTTTTATCATGCATTTTTTCCTATTTCATTTATTTCCAAAATTCCTCAAGAAAAAAAACAGCACACAAATTGCTTAGTTTTTAAGTATGAAAATTACATTCACATTGCAAAGTCTTTACTGGTTCATGTGATCAATACATTTACCTCATAAGCTCTGTTTGTTCACACAGGCAAACACAAATATTTGCAAAAGTGAGTCCCCTTTTGAAACTCACCATGGCCTGCTCTCGGCAGTTTGAGGTTAGCTGATCAAAAGAAGTCCTCCTGCTTTGATGAAATCATTCAAATCTTTATGTTGTCACCACAAAGAAAAAAGATCTTCCTCCAAATGCTTTCCTGTAAGACAATGGATGCATTGAACATGATTGTTCACGTCCCTTGAAAGAACACCATGTTTTGATAGGTGGAAATATTTTCTCTGCAAAGAACCTGCTGCTCCCATATTAGTTACAAGTGGTTCAACATTCAGTTTCAATACCAGTGCATAAAGAGATTCCTTGTTTGTTTTAGGTGCTTTACATATTTATTTAATCCTTAAGATGACTATGCAGGTTAAGTATTTTATCCTTATTTTGTAGACGAATAAACTGAGACTTAAAGGAGATTAAATTATTTATTAAAGTCTACATACTTAGTGACAGAAATGGGGTATCCAAGGTTCCTAAGCAAATGTTTACTTTAAAAAAAAAAATCTTGTAATATACTCTTATTTATTTCAGAGAGGAAGGGAGAGGGAGAGATAGAAACATCAGTGATGAAAGAGAATCATTGCTCAGCTGCCTCCTGCACGCCCCCTACTGGGGATTGAGCCCACAACTCCAGACATGTGCCCTTGACTGGGATCTAACCCAGGACCCTTCAATCTGCAGGCTGACGCTCTATCCACCAAGCCAAACCAGCTAGAGCTTTTTAAAAAATCTTTATTGTTGAAAGTATTACATATGTCCCCCTTTTGCCCCCAGTGATACCTTCTGGCCCGCCCCTCACCCCAGGCCTTCACCACGCTATTACTCTTTTTAATTTATAAAGAGGCTACACTTAGTGAGACAGTTGGGCTGAAACTATGAATTCAAATAATTTGAGCAGGAAGGACCTTAGAGATGCTGTAGTCAAAGGTAGCAAATAGGCGACAAGCGTACTCCCATGCCCATGCCAGCAGACATTGCAACAGCTGCAGCCCCGGGCCGAGGGTGGGCAGCACAGGCTCCTCATTCTTTGGTCCCCAGTCACCACTCCACAGGAACAGGCATGGGAGGCACCATACTGAGGGCTCTCTCCAGTCTAGATTGATGATTTAAAGCAGCCAACCTTAGCATCAGCTTTGTATGACACCAGCAGTACCCATAAACCACGCAGCCAGCTAACTCCTTGAGTTCCTGCTCAATTCAACATCCAGATTTGGGTTTCTCTCATAATCTCAGGTCTCCCTCTCCTCCTCCAAAGACTTTTAAATACTCGCATAACATTGGCTAACATCATTTTTAGCACTCACAACAGAATTTTCATACATACTCATTTCCGGGTATTAAGGGGGATAAAATGCATATTTCAGTGAGGATGTTTGGCTTGACTCCTCTCTTGGATGGAGGGATTGGTTTACTAAGTTGCTAACTTAATTATTTCACCTCCCAACGTTGGCTACTTTCTCAGTCCTCACTCCTTGGACTTTGTCATTTCTGACCTACCATACTGCAGTAACCCCCCTGTTTCCAATCTTATCCACTATTCTCCAAAGTGCAGGAATAATCTTTTAAAGAATCCAAATATAATCATATAACCCGTCTGCTTAACATGCTTCAGTGGCTCCCCATTGCTCTCTGATGAAATCCAAACTCAAGAGCATGTGGTGTATTAGCTCCTTGGGCCTGTTCCCACTCCATCATGTGCTAGCTCTATAGAATCATGAGCCTTTCAGGATTTAGCTTACTCACCACCTCCTATAAGAAGTCCTCCTTCACAACCCACTTCCCCCAACCCCAGGCTGAGCTAGCTCTTTTTTACTATTTGCTCCGATAGCACCTTGTCCTTATCTTCCATTTGTGGCATCTCTTATAGGATTCTAATGCCCAATAGGGTCTATTTCTGTAAGTTTTTTAAGGTAGAAAATGACAGTTGTGTCTTTTATTACCATGATTTAACACACTGCCTCCCATGTAGAATTTTTAAAATATTTGTGGGAGGAAAAAAAAAAGTCATCACTTTTCCTGAAACTGTAATTAGAAAGCTGATAAGATTTTTAAAGTAAAATTAGGAAATACAGAAATAAGATTTATACCATCTTTTGAATGACATTCCAATTCCTAATATAAAAGGAGAGGGGATTAAAATAGCAAGGGCCACGTCTTTTGAACTGTAGTCTTGTGCTTCAATCTGGGGCCTCAGAGAACTCTCTGGTCACAGATTCTTCCTCTCTTTCTCTTCATTCCTCATTCTCTGTTCTATCTACCTTATTTTTATTAGATTGGGACCAGGAATATTATGTAAGCAGTAGCATTAAAGAAAAATGTAGAAATGACAACCTAAAAACATTTTTTCTGGTCTTTTCTCCCCAATTATAGAAGTAATATAGTTTTTAAAATAAAAATTTGGCCCTGGCCTTTGTGGTTAGAGTATCAGCCTGAATACTAAAGGGTCATGGGTTTGATTCCCAGACAAGGGCTCATACCTGGGTTGCAGGTTTGATCCCTGACCCCAGTCAGGGCACATGCAGGAGGCAACCAGTCAGTGTTTCTCTCTACATCTCGCTCCCTCTCTTCCTCCCTCCCTCTCTCCCCACTCCACTCCACTCTTTCTAAAAATCAGTGGAAAAAATATCCTCTAGTGAGGATTAAAAAAAAATTGGCAATTTTTCTTTTAAAAAAAGAAAAATGAATTTAAAATCTCCTAAAAGTCCATTTTGAAGAGATTCAATGGGTTCATCATTTTTTTAATTTAAGTTCTATATAATTTAATGTATTACATAAGTCTCCTTTTTCCCCCATTGACCTCTCCCCAACCGCCCCCAACCACCAGCACATGCCCTCACCACCACGCCCCCTTCCCAGCTGCGTCCATTGGTTATGCTCATATGCGTGCATACAAGTCCTTTGGTTAATCTCTCACCCCCTCACCCTGCCGCCTTCCCTCATAGGTTGGACAGTCTATTCAATACTTCTATGACTCTGGTTCTGTTTTTGTTCATCAGTTTATGTTGTTTATTATATTCCACAAATGAATGAGATCATGTGATATTTATTGTTCTCTGACTGGCTTATTTCACTTAGCATAATGCTCTCCAGTCCCATCCATGCTGTTGCAAATGGTAAGAATTCCTTTTATATATATATGTATATATATAATTGATTTTCTACAGAGAGGAAGGGAGAGGGATAGAGAGTTTGAAACATCGATGAGAGAGAAACATCGATCAGCTGCCTCCGCACACTCCCCCACCCCCGGCCCGGGGATGTGCCCGCAACCAAGGCACATGCCCTAGACCGGAACCGAACCTGGGACCCTTCAGTCCGCAGGCCGACGCTCTATCCACAGAGCCAAACCGGCCAGGGCAGAATTCCTTTTTTTTTTTTTTATAGCAGTGTAGTATTCCATTGTGTAGATGTACAATGAGTGCATTTTTATGTTTTTCCTTTGTTTGCTTCTATATGTACATTCCCCGCCTAATGTTGCATTGGGAGTGTTTCCCCAGGACTACCAACCCATCCTTCCCCGGGCCACACTGGCCTCCTCACAGCTCTTCCAAGCAGTTGCTTCCCCCTGTCTTAGTGCCTTTGCACCTGCTCTCTCTTCTCCCTAAAACATACTTCGTTGGACTGCTGCAGCGAAACTAAGGATCCTGACCTCAGTAATGACCGATTCTACTCCTGAATCCTTCCTAATTTCTAGTCTAGAAGTCTGGCAGCCTAAATTGTACTAGCTCAATATACAAAGATGTTTGTCTTATTACCAGACTAAGAAGCTTATGAACAATTTAGTGAGTCTCAAGTTACACATGTCCTGTGAGAGCAGATTAATAACGTTTAGTATCTTTTTCTTCACACACAAGCAGTCCATCTCTCGTCCCCTTCTGATCCTGAAAAAACCTGCTGCTTTTTTCTCCCCGTAAGATTTAGGTATTTATGTTCCGTTTTAATAGAACTTGAAATGGGCCTGGTAAACTCACCTTTGTCTTTATAACCCACCTAGTACTCTGATTGCCTTACACTCGGCCCCTCCTTTGCTCCATCCAGGCAGTGGTTCCGAAAGTGTAGGCCCCAGCGGTTCTCAACCTGTGGGTCGCGAACAATGAAAATGCATCCTGCATATCAGATATTTGCATTACGATTCATGACAGTAGCAAAATTACAGTTATGAAGTAGCAACGAAAATAATTTTATGGTTGGGGGGTCACCACAACATGAGGAGCTGTATTAAAGGGTCGCGGCATTAGGAAGGTTGAGAACCACTGCTAGACCATGAGCATAGGCATCACCTGGAAACTAGTTAGAAATGTAATTCTCAGTCCACCTCAGGCCCAGCAATCCGGGGGTATTAACTAACAAGTTCTCCAGGTGACTCATACTAGTCTGCTAATGTTTGGGACCATCTGCTTCAGGAATAGGAACTTTGTTGTCCCTGAATCCCAGCATCAGGAGGCCCTCAGGCTTCCTGACAACAGTCAGCCTGACTGCCTAGATGTTTGCATATTTGCTAATGTTAAGCCTTTGCAGCTGCACTTAGCAGCCTGTTAGCACATCCCCACAATCTCTTACTGCCCTTCCTGATGCCGCCTCTTTTCTTTGACATCTGTCAGCATAGCCTGTGGTATTTCTAATTACTGTAGCCTGTCTGGTTGGGTTTTATCTCAGCAGCTACAACAGTGTTGGTTCAACATCTCTATCACCTGCCCCTAGTGCACTTGCCCAAAATTCTAGCCCCTTTGGGTCTTCTATGAGTCCTTAAGTTCACCCTACCATTCCCAATCTTGACAAAAGGTTTGCCACGTGGGATGGGGAAAACCCTAAATTCCTAATTAAAGTAAAGGTACAAGTGACAGACTAAAACACACAATTGCTTAGGTTATTTAGAATTCATGAAAAGGAGAAAGGGCAGGAAGAGACTTTTTGCTATATATCTATTTATATTCTTTGATTTTTGAACAAGATAAATGTGTTACCTACTCAAAAATAATTATTTTTATTTATTCTGAAAAATGCATAGTAAAAAAAAATGGTCAGGAAAAACTTTCTGGAAGAAATGAGTGTGAGCTTCATGTAGAATAGTGCAGTAGGCACAGATCAATGCTGAGGAGTCGGGAGCACATTCCAGGTGAGGAAGGGGAGGAGTAACCGGACAAATGCAGGCCATGCAGAGAACTGCAGTTAAGAGGTGGTTCTGACTGGTATGTTTTTACCAAAACATGCTCGTTTTGACAACTCCCTTAGGTTATGGAATTCCACTGAAAGACGGAGATGAGAAAACAGATGAAGAAGCGGATGGGCCGTTTTCAGATGATGAGATGTTAACACACAAAGGGCTTCGAAGATCGCAAAGCATGAAATCTGTGAAAACCATGAAAGTCCGCAAAGAGGTTAGTCAATTACAGAGTTGTTTTCCTAATGATTAATATGAAAGGATTTCCTTGTTGCATTATCATTCAGGGTGTTAATGATCCTTAAGTGAAGGATTGGGATGGTAGAGCCAGTTATTTTTTAAATTCTTTATTCAGATCAGATATAGTAGGATATCTGGAAATTTAGAAATTGCTAGTCTTCAATTACACCTAGAAAATGGCATTCTCAGATAGAGAATTATATGGTTGTCATAAATACCCAGTTCCAGCCCTACCCATAAGCAAAGAAAGCAGTTAACAAGATTAACTACATAGATCTGTTTTGAACTAGCAACCCTACATGAGGATTAAATAGTAAAAGTTTATAATTATATATTGTCCATGTGCCCAGAAAGCAATGGAGGATTCCAGGGAATGGCCTCAGATTACTATGAGCAATGTACCAAGCAAAGCATAAATAATAACAGCTAGTGTTTTTTTATTAGTGATAATAATCTACAACATATATTCAACATTGAACCAACTACATTTTTTAGAATATAAATAGTGTTGTCTTTTGCATACACACTTACAGGATAATTGATTCTTTATATCAGAAAAGTTAAAAAATTCTTATGCTGATTATGAACTATTAAGTCTTATATCATTTCAAAAAAATAACCATCTAATTTGTAATAATAACACATCTCTCTCTTCAGGTGCGGTATGGGTCACTAAAATATAAAGTGAAGAAGAGACCGCAGGTGTATTTTTAATCATGTGCGCTTCAAGTATCCCAAGACAAATTATGCTAATGCATCAACTTTTTTTCCTAACATTATGTTCAGTATTTACATATTGAAGTAATCCTTTAGATTGTGGCGGTGGTAGGGTTTACTTTTGTTAATTTAAATAATTTTTATTTCTTTAACAATTACTTTTAAATCTTGACTACTAAAGGTAGTTATGCAATATATATATATATATATATCAGGAAGAATAGAAAATTGTGTTAATCTGTTTTCAAATTCATCAACAACATCAAGTGCCTGGGATTTAAGAGAAAACACAAACCCAGTATACTTGAAAAAAGTCATCTTATGGTTCAAGATCCATCGGCCTTTGTGGTATTGTATTGTTTACCTCCATTTATGTTATAGCTATCACATGAGGATAGTCATTAAATAGGCCTCTGATCCAGCAGTGATAGCACAAGGGCATAATGTGAGATAAAGTATGTTTTATATATTCTTTAAAATTTTTACTTTTTTTAAACACTTTATAGTTTTTCCACCATCAACTGAAAGTTTTCAAAACAAATATTTGAAAACCAGGTATCCACATAGCACTTTTATTCCTGACTAGTTTTGCACACTTGAAAATTGTTTACTTTTTTTATGACTGTACATTTTAAGTTTTACTGACACTATCTTTATTATTTGTTGGATTCTGATATGTCAAATTTATGCCTTAAATGATGTCATCTTTTTCCTGTGGGTTTCATTTGTTAAATTTGCTTGATTTTATTAGTAGAAAAATATAACTAATTGTTCTTAATCTCATTTACATATAAGAAATTATCTTAATTATTAGTTTTCTGTATTTAGCTGTACATTGTAGTTGAACTCAGCATGTTTTTTATTAATACTGGTTACATTCTCAGATTTTAAAAGTAGTAGCTTTTATGAAATAGTGTCAGAGACCAGTATAGCACTTAGGTTTCTTCTAACTAATGAAAATATCTAGCCAATCCATTCACAAGCTTGGCACTTATATGTGCTTCTGATGAATAAATCTGGCATTAACTAAAATCACTTGAATCACTTCTTTTCTGGCTGATACAATTTCCTGAAGATAGTTGCCAATGCAAAATACAGATGTCATTAATCTCATGTATTAGAAGCTATTGGAATAGATATTAGAAAATATCATTTTTTTAATCCAAGCTATTTTTCAATTACTGGACTGTGAGGCATTTTTAGCTTGCATTCATAGCTATGCATTATGAACTCTAAGTCAGTATATTTCTGGTGATGGTTTTAGTGATCAGTAATGAAATTTGTACAATTATACTTATTCAGGTAATTTACTTGACGATTCTACTTGTTTGTCCAAAAGAAAAAACAAAGAGATTTGTAAGATCTTTGACTTTTCTACCTTTTAAGAAATGAAGCCAGCTGACAGTGTATATTCCGGACCTCCTCAGAGTGTTGGCAGAGAACAGAATGGTTAGTCAGGAGTACCTTAGTTTAATTCAGACACTTCTCTTGATACAAGTCTTAAAATATTTTCTAGCCCTTTGGTGTGGCTCAGTGGTTGAGTGTTGACCCATGAACCAGGAGGTCACGGTTAGATTCCCCACAGGGCACAAATCAGGGTTTCGGGCTTGATTCTCAGTAGGGGGCATGTAGGAGACAGCCGATCCATGATTCTCTGTCATCATTGATGTTTCTATCTCTCTCCCTCTCCCTTCCTCTCTCTGAAATCAATAAAAACATGTTTTTAAAATATATTAAAATATGTATTTTTTCTAGATTATCTCACATTCTTGATACATAACACCAAGTAAAAATTCATTCAATGTCTTTTCTCCTAAAGTTTATTTCTATGAGTATTTTCATCTACTTTACCTTGACTAATTTTTAGCCTCTTAGTTTCTGGAAAAACTTTAATTTGTATTCAAAATTCCTATGAATTCTGATGAAAACTCTTGAAAGAGAGTTGTACTTATATTGCATAGTCCTAGACTTATCAGTATAAATGCTACACCTTGCTTTCCTGTGCAAAGGTAGTGTCATCTCAAATTACCTGACAAGGTCATTGTTTCAAAAACGTTATCTACTGGAGCTGATTTGTACCATTTTATCACTTTCAAATATAATTTCATTATTATACCTATTCTTTAATCATGGTAAACTCGTGCTTTTCTAAACTGGAGGAATTACGTATCCCTCTACACTTCTAGAATCAACACGTTTAATCAAAGACAGCATCGGTTTCATAGAGGTAATTAAGCTCTTCTATTTCATTGTGTCTCTTCACACTTACAATGCTCCCTCTGATATATTTCTACTGTACTGGTTACATCCTTATATACAGTGAGGTAATTTTGCTTTCCTGTCATTTCCTTCCTCTCCTTTTCTTAAATGTTGCTTCTTTTCAACTTTTTTTTTTTTTAAAGAGAGTAGGAAGGAGGGAGGAGGAGAGAGGGAACGAAATATCAATTTGAGAGAGACACATGGATTGGTTGCCTCCCGCACACAAAGGAACAAACGTACAACCCAGGTACGTGCCCTTGATCGGGAATCAGACCCTGCACCTTTCTGTGCTTGGGCCAGCACTCTACCGCTGAGCCACACCGGCCAGGGCGCTTTTCTCTTACGTGTTTTAGCATGCCCTTTCCTTTGAACCTTGTATAATAAGCTTATACATTTTAGTTTCTTTTAAGGTTGAGCAGGACAGTTTTGTTTCTCTGCTTATAAGTCTACTGCTTTTAGAAGAGGTAAATTTATCCCTAGACCACAGTGCCTTGCTTTCCCACCACTACCACTTGGTGTGAATGAGCATCACATGCTGCACAAGCCTATTTAGGGCACTATTTTGGTAGCTGTTAAAGTTTATCCAGAAATTGTAGCCATTTTATCATATATGCATTCAACTTGTTCATTAATATTAACTGTTTCCAGAGTTTGTTTAGATGTAAGAATTGATTTGTTCTTTAGTTTATTGTATTTTTCTGGTATAAAAAATGAGCCAGAATAAGCCTACTTGCTAAGTAATTAATTATATAAACCTGCCTACAACCTGCATAAGATTTTCTCCACACACTTCACTATATGTATGTGGATTTGGCTAGAAAATGATACTGCCGGCATTACTAATTATGAATACTTGACTACACAGATTGATGGAACAAAATTATTAAAGTGTTTTCAGGGAACTTAATCCATATGTCACCAAAGATTTCTACAGTGTTATAAAGGATGTAAATATTCTAAATTTCTGTAAGACAGTGGTTAGACAAATATATTTTCCTTCCCCTTTTTTTTTTTTCTTTTGAAATAACAGTTTACGCTTCCGGAATGCTTGAACTGTTGTGTTATTCAAAATAATACAATACTTTCTTATCTTTAATATCAATAATCTGTGTGTTTAATTGTAATAGACTAAATTTTTATTTCGATTTTATCAGGAAAATTAAGGAGTTAATATGTATTAGAAAGCAATTTCCTGTTTTCTCTTATATGGGCTGATTGACTTGCAAGCTAAGTAATTAATTAATTAGTAATTAATAAGTAATTAGTAATTCACTACTATTAATGTAAGCTAGTAGTTAAATCTGGGAAGATCATTGTTAGTATAATACACAGTGTACATTTTTAAATAAACATAATTTAAGAGTAAAGTTTTCTGAAAGGGAAAGACATTTTTATCTCTAAATGTTTTTTAAGACATAACCTTCTAAGGTATCCTACAGATTTAATGTGTAAGAATTCTTTAAATGTTTACCATGAATTAACATTTTTTTCTTCTAAAACCTTTTAAATCTATGTACTTTAATAGTTAAGAGAAAGTAGTTTTGCAAACTCTTTGTAAAGGCTACCTTTTAGGCCTAATATAGGGGTAATTTTACAAATGTGGCTTTTGAAAACTGTAATATAAAATAAACTCATTTTATTAGTGATGACTTGGTTTTCTTTCTTGTCAGAGTACATATGTTGGGTTACATGAATTGATTATTATTATGATTCGATTGAATAATAGACAGCATTTGCACACATTTAAGATTATAAATCACAGAGCAAATTATGAAAATCATATACATTCTGGAATGCTCATCCAGGGGATTAAAAGAAACACTGAATTATTAAATTTGGATGTTGGGAAGAGAAGATAGGAAAAAACAATTAGTAAAGAAACCCTAGCCATCAATTTGTATTGGCTAGATGTCTCAGACATAGAATATAACACAAAATTCAGTTTTACATATCCTGGGAAGGTTCTGGGGTTCCATCTGTTGTAAAGTCATACGTCTGTTTGCCTCACATTTAAACTTCAGAAGGAAATCCTGTGTTTAAAAGTTCCTTTGTGTTACTTCATTATGGTATATAATGTGTGCTGAAGTATTTCAAATGGAGTTATAGTTTCATTTTTTTTTTAAATATATTTTATTGATGTTTTACAGAGAGGAAGGGAGAGGGATAGAGAGTTAGAAACATTGATGAGAGAGAAACATCGATCAGCTGCCTCCTGCACACCCCCTACTGGGGATATGCCTGCAACCAAGGTACATGCCCTTGACCGGAATCGAGCCTGGAACCCTTGAGTCCTCAGGCTGATGCTCTATCCACTGAGCCAAACCGGTTAGGGCTATAGTTTCATTTTTATTAGGAGGTATATCCTTGTGATGATCCAAAGAAGTTAGAAATGTAAATAAGAATCCTAGCCCTGACCAGTTTGTCTCAGTGGATAGGGCATCGGCCTGCGGACTGAAGGGTCCCAGGTTCGATTCCAGTCAAGGACATGTACCTTGGTTGCAGGCACATCCCCAGTAGGAGGTGTGCAGGAGGCAGCTGATCGGTGTTTCTCTCTCATCGATGTTTCTAACTCTCTATCCCGCTCCCTTCCTCTCTGTAAAACATCAATAAAATAAAAAATTTTAAAAAATGAATTCTAAAGAGCACATGGATATATGAACTACGACATTTTTTTCCCAGTGGGTTTTTTTTCTCCCTTTAAAGTGGTTCACTGTTCTTGAGAGATTCATAGAACAAAAATCATGTCAGAGACTGATTCATTGTTCCCTGAAAAACATTCTGCCCTTTTATCTACCTATCAGTATTCTAGCCTTGAAACAGTCTCCTTATGGTCTGGTTCTGATAATGTTTTTTAAATTGCTTTTTTATAAGATAATGCTTCAAATTGAAATTTTAAAGCACAAGATTGATAACTATAAGTATAGGGTACTGAAAGTACAGGATGCTAAAAGACTGCTCAATAAAAGCAGGAAAGTCACTTTTACCCTTCGATGGCCTGGCAGTTCCAGACTAAGGACAAAAGGAGGAAGAAAGAAAAAGGAAAGTATGGTGTTTGGCATATGTACAAATCAGATTAGCAACAATTTTCTTTTTCATTCAAAAATTTTTTTTTTTAATATATTTTATTGATTTTTTTACAGAGAGGAAGGGAGAGAGACAGAGAGCCAGAAACATCGATGAGAGAGAAACACCGACCAGCCGCCTCCTGCACACCTCCCACTGGGGACGCGCCCGCAACCCAGGCACACGCCCCCGACCGGAATCGAACCCGGGACCCTTCAGTCCGCAGGCCGACGCTCTATCCACTGAGCCAAACCGGTTTCGGCCAAAAATATTTCTTGAGCCCTGCCAGTGTGGCTTGGTTGAGCATCAACCCGTGAACCAGGAGGTCACTGTTTGATTCCTGGTCAGGGTGCACGCCCGGCTTTCCGGCTCTATCCCCAGTAGGGGGCGTGCATGAGGCAGCTAATCAATAATTCTCTCTCATCATTGATGTTCCTATATCTCTCCCCCTTTCCTTTCCTCTCTGAAATCAATAAAAACATACTTTTAAAAATACATATTCTTTTAGTGCCTACTGTATATAGTATCTCTGTTATGTTTCTTCACAATGCCTATATCCAAGTAGGATAGTGCCGGGGTCCAACCCCAGCAGGTCCAGGGGTTCCCAAAGGCGTAGACGGAGTCGGCGAAGAAGGAAGGACACGGAGACAGTGTTCAGTTGATCAGCAGCCTAGCCAGGATCTCCAGCCAAGTTCTGGTCTGGATCTCCA